CGTTGAAAAATGCCACTGTTGAAGCCAGCGAATTGTGTCATTTGACAACTGAAATGTAGTCGACCTCAGTCATAGTTTTCCATGTTGCGTAATTCATATCCATCTTCGTTTGGATATGTGTTTCAAAGGCACAGTTATTGTTTTTCCCTCAGAGCCTAGCCTGACATTTTTAGCAAACATTTATCGATTTGGTTGGCATCTACACAGGAGTGCGGTTTGAGTTTCATACAAAATATACGAAAATATTTTTTGGCACTTTTTCGTCATCATCATCAACTGTTGACTGGGCTGCCAACTGCTTACTTCACATTCCTAAATTAGATGATCAAGCCGCAGATTTACTCAGAGCTTGGCACCTGGGCACGTTAATGATATGGTTGACATATCTTCGATTTATATCACCGGTTCAAAACGGAGTTTGTAACTCCGTGAAAAGCAAATAAGACCCTCAGTTAAATAGGTTCAAACAAATACTTAATTGAGCATCGATGCACATGTGAGTGACAAGTCCTACACACCGTCCTGACATACCATCGCTGTCTATTTAGTCTAAGTCAAGGACACTCTGTTGGTTCAGGCAACAGATTCATAATTGGACGACCGTGAGTCGAGCAAGGCCAGGTCACTGGTCCTTCATTCTTTCGATGCAAATGAGCGATTAGTAATTCTTGGGAAGAAAACAATGACAAATACGCAATAACGATCACTAGACTCCAGATATAGCTTGAAAAACAATAGCAAGGCCCTCGTCGCTCCACAAACTTCCTGAAACAATGGTGTCACAAATGGTAACCAGAAGAGGAGGAGTTAATGGGACTCACATCCCCACCTTCACAGAGTGTCAAGACTTTGTCCCGCTGTATCACGTTAAACCGCAAGTATAAGAATCACAGAGTTGATCTGATGGATACAGTTTCAAGTACGCTAGTTTACCAATAGATGAGGCTGTAGGATGAGCTGACGAAGTTCGTCGGATCAAGATTGATAGAAATGGCAGAAAGCGAAACTTTAAGGTACTGTCTTGGAGTCACCTCCATACAACACTGAATCTACAAGGGCTAATTGTGGTGACCGTGTTTCGCGGCATGCATGCAGGTCAAAAGTTTGTTTATTTTACAGTGCTGCTGTCTGTGACATCAGTTGGACCTTTTGGAACCGCTTGCCTTCCTATTCCATGTAATTTTTGATTTTATATTTTCACTGACTTGAAGAATATCATGCAGCTTTACAAGGCTTGTGTTCCGTTTCTTCTCTAAGTATCGTTTTGGCTAAAATACAATTCTCCTCATCGATATTTACTCGTTAAAATTTACCTTGTGGCGTTGTAAAAATGTCTTGTGCATTATGCAGTCACTTTGTGGATCGAAAGCTTTTAATTTCATAACATTGGATTAATAATAGTCACACAGAAAGATGAATATAGCCACATGCAAGTCATGCACACGTTAAGACTTTAACGTCGTTTGCAGGAGGTATACAAATCAGCAGCGCCTGCAGGAGCAGAGAAGGCACGCACCAGGTTCGGGAAACCGTTGGATGGAAAGCAAACCGCTCCACCACTTTGTTCATGCTGTGCGGGCTGTGAAAACGTAGAACAGCATGAAACGAGTTCACGGGAAACATGACAGGGGACTTACCACATGCATCAGGTCGCTAAAGCACCACATCGCGTTTCCTTGTAGCGCCCAGGTCGAAAGGTCTTCAGAGTTTCGAATGGAGCGTTCGCCGTTGTCTGTATCCATCTTTACGACTACCGCTTTCGGTGGTTTGCGAGAGGCTATGTAATCTGCAAGGCTATACGGTGGATTGCAGACCGCTTTCAGCAGTTGAGCCGGTTTTGAATGCTTCCCGTTCCAAATTGTCGTAAAGCGTTTTGGGGGAGACGAGAGAGTGATAAATTGCGAATAAATATCTGAAAATTTTAAGTTTATCGTAAAGCACTTAAAAAGCATTTTACGGTGATCAGTGTCTAAAGACAGTATGAACTGAGCTTTTTTATGTAATATGCTCTCTTTTATAAAGAGTTATATCCAGTTGTGAAAAAACAGTAGCAGTTTCTGGGAAAAGCTTCAGCATAATTACGTTGAAGATAATGGTGCTCGATGCTATCACTACAATGTTACTGGGCTGACTAGAAACTAAGATAAAAGCCTTGGATGTCACTATGACAGCAACCGTAAAAGAGAAATGCATCTTGTCATGATGTTTACCATTCGAAGATGGGATGATTCCTCTTCAGCAGACTTTCACTTTGGAGACAAACAAACTAAATGAATATGTTTCAAAAGTACAGATGTGTCAGGATCTCTGGTAATCTCTTGTATCATGTAGAGTGGTTTTCCCAATATCATGCATTGGACATGAACATATGAGAAGATCATGGATCTTTTTCATGGGACGAAGAATGAGTGAAGGCTCAAGTGCTGAATGGCATGACAAACTGGAGCGCACTGTTGGCATACTTATATATAAAATGCGTGCAATGATTCCAAAACTGATCGTCTGTCAAAATTCTAATCGAACGATTTATGACGCCACTGTCGCATGTTTAAAGCTACACACGTACTTGATTCTAACGTCACTTATTATTCGCCCAGCTGTACTGGTTCTTGCCTGAGAAAACGGGACGATCCGAACAATGATTGGCAGGAGTAGCAGCAGGTCAACCATCAGTAACATGAAACGACCCCGGGTAGCGGAGTAACGTTCTCTGTGAGTAATGAACCGAACTTTGGTCCTTTGTCAATATGTTGTAAATTTTAACCAATCAGAGTTCAGCAATTGAATATTTCAGCCAATCTGGTTTGTCGCTTTTCCAACAAGTCGGTTCGCAAATGAATACCTCCAAGAATACGTCTACTACCTTCGTTTACCGGAAGGAAGCCATCGTGAATGGCGGTGTTAGTTACCTGCGTCGCAGATTAAAGTTGCCCTCTTCTAACACCTTTCTCTCAAGTTAAGATTCGTCTATTACAGTTTAGAATAATTTATCAATTATGTTACTTAATTTCAAGACATTTCGATCAGAATAAGATGACGGATTGGCGTCAAATATTAGAAACAGAATTCCACTGGATCAGGAATATCGAGTAGGTTATTCAGAACACGCTGAAATGACCCGACTGTCAGCAGTGGATGCAGAAAACGGAGAACAAAAAATGCTGGACGATGGTTGACTAGCGTTCATGATTAGGACAAGTCAGATATCAGACTATTCATAATTACAAATAAAAGATGGGTAAATTTAAATCAGCTTTTTTATTTATATTAATGAAACCCTCAATCATTACTATTTCTATGCTTAAGTGTCGTGGATTGCGCTAGAAAGTTTTAAAACGAATATCTGCGCTACTTGAACATTACTAAATGTCTGCCTATCTAAACTACTTATATTGTCGTGTCAAGTTAAGCGTCATGACCATATAGTGACAGAGTTCTTTTCGTAGTTTTCAAGGACGTGACGAGCAGGTGCACCCTGGATACGAAAAAGTCAGATTTGGTGAGGCTCGATTGACGGCAGACCCTAGGCCATTAAAAGGTCTCCTGAAGCAGCTACGCTCTGGACCCAAAAGGAATGGCAGAGTTTGAAAATGAGTGTTGAGGAAAAAGAAAATAATATTGGGGAAATAAGCGTTAGACCAAAATGAAATAATTAGCAAACCTGACGGTACCCTGTCGGATTATGCCCAGCTTGGCGAAAACGATCGGATTTCGTTGCGCGGCGTTCAGAAGCCGGAAACGTCGCACTTTCCTTAATGGCGTGCTTTCAATCGGTTGGCCATTCAGCAATTGCTTTACACTCTGCGGTATGGCGGCGTCTCCTTTGTGGCTGTAATAAATTGAGATATTTTCGTACTGAAGAAATTCACCTAAAACTATCGTTATTTCCAATCTAAGATCAGACAACCTACCCAGTTCAGCAAGTTGGTTGTCAAGAGAGAGGCACACCAGCATACCAGCCGTGGATTTATCCCGTAGTACGGTGCCATCCAGAGTTGTGGCCGGAAAGGCCGGGAAAGAATGCACTATCCATGCAAGTCGAGACTTCGTCGCGAGAACAATTCCTGAAACAAATGCCACAATTGCTCTAAAATTGTATTAAGCAATACAGCATGTTTACCCCTGCTAAGAGAATCTGTTTTCCTCTGAGGCACGCCGCCGGGTCCCGGTTGTTTATTGTAAAATATCGCTAGACTGTTTTGTTTATAAGGATTATCGAAAAACGCCGCAAACGTTCGCATGAAGGGTCCATTTTTTGCCATGAACGTTTTCTTCAGTGACCATTTTTGCGAGCCATCGTCCATATAAAGGTACTCATCACCGGCGCTTGACGGAAGCTTGTAAATGACGTACCTCAAGAACGGCAGGAAGAATGTAGAAGAAAAATGATTTACTAGTGATTCGTTACCATGGTGTTTCTTTTCCGCTGTCGCTGATGCATGAGAACGGCTCAACGGTAGGAACAACGGGTTTCGGTTTCTTTGATGCTTTTGGTTTGACTGATTGAGTTGATGCCGTAGATTTAATTGTTGCAATGGATTTAGTTGACGCAGTTGACTTACTTGACGAACCTGCCGTGTCTGCGTTTTTGACAACGGCGATTTTGCAGATGGCCAAACAAACAGCCAACCAAATGAACTGCTTCATTCTCATTACTTGATCGTCGATGATCCAGCAATGCTTTCTTATATAAGACTAGTGTTTACGCAACAGAAGTTTTTTCTCGATAAACGCTTAAACAAGCAAATGAAGACTTTATTCACTGTTTGTTATATGGATAATATCTCATTTCAATGATTTTCTGTAAATATTTATCTGCCATTTTTTCTTCCAGGGCTAATTTTGACATGTTGCTCAATCGCCCGTCTCCAAACATCGACTTTTGCTTTAGCAGACGCTTAGATTAACTTCAAAGCACCGCCGATGTGGGCAAATTGGTTCTTGGATTTTTCACTAAAGACGGTACGACATCGCTGACCAGTCGCATAACGTCAAGTGACAGTCTTTAGCCTTGCTAGAAAACGTTATAATTATCACTAGTTAATAAGTGATAGTACATAATTGCGCTAAATTAACAAAATCTTTGAGAAAGGGCAATTTGTCTGGTGAATAGATATATAGAAGAGACGAAAATATTCTTGCTGATGAACTGGTTCGAAGATGATTAATAGCAAAAGTTAACATCATATGATATGGTAGAGTTATGATTCGTTTTCTATTCAAGCATTTTTAAGAACCTTATTAAACATTGAAATTATGACTGCTGACGTCGTTCACCTTATTTGCTTGGAAGATGGCTAATGTGTTGTGTCGCTGAAATGTTAAGCAATTACAAATGAGACTTTACCATTGGTATGCTGTTTGGGTCTAAGACCAATGGTGCATCACTTTTAACGTCCAATACTCCAAGGGTAATCTTTAAGAAGCGCCATCTCGCATTTTGTTTTTGACAAGGGCAAACACAGGCCATGGTCGGATTTTTCGAATTGTAGTAATCAAATTAGCCACAAGGAATTGCATCAAGCCATAGTGATTGCTTCAGCAGCGTTGTGAGCATACAGTCAATCGGTGATCAATTTGAGAATCAGCTGTTTGATTTGGCTGAAGCTTTCTCGATATTAGGTATACCCAGTTCGAGGCCCGTTAACGATTGCCGTACCTTTAATCGACCTTCGCAAATCTTTGAGAATTCTTGTATCCGTCGTAGATACATTTGTATAATATGACTTTCCAAGACAATTATTTTAATTACAAACACAAGGTATAATTTCAAGTGTTTCGAGGTTATTTTCGCGGATCAGCCTCTGGAAAGGCAGATTGCGAAACCATCAACTCTGTGCTCTTTCGGCAGCGCCAAATTTCGAGCAGAGAGACTCTTCCTGGACGTTAGCGATGGGGCTTCTTTACACCTCAGGTAGCTGGTGCCGACAGTTTAGCAGCCTGCTGGCAAAGTGCTTACAGAGAGCCTTTCCCTCGGTAGGTTTTACGGCAGCTTGCTTCCTACAAGACACTGCAGTACAAATAATAGGAATTAGACCTTTTTGTCCGCACAGTGAGACATTTCCGCCATAGCCGGTCTCAAATCCGGATGAGAAAGGAGGGTTGCAGACTGTCGCTTAACATTACCACCCGCTTTTCATGGTATTGCCGTCATCGAGCAATATACCAGCTCAGACGTCGTCCAGGTTAGCAAGTTACTCGTTCTGAACAGATGAAGCAGACAGTGCCAACACGTCAGAAGAGGCTCCAAGGGAACGACACCGCAAGTGGGAGCTTACAATCAGAAATTCTAGCATATCTTCACTCAGAGGGAAAAAGCAGGAACTATTTGTTGAAGTCGCAGGGCACCAACTCGGCATGCCAGGGCTCTGAAGTTTTGAACCTTTGCAGATGTGAGATGTTCTACAGAGGTGTCGACACTGCGACACGCACTCATGCTGATGTTAGTATTCTAATATGACCCAACCTGGCTGACAAAATCGTGGAATGGAAGCCTGTCGACAGAAAGTTAGAAATCATCAGGCTGAAGTTGCAGCTGACTAAAGCTCTGCTACTGCAACAGGCCTATGTGCCCAATTTCGAGGCAGAATTTTGGACGGAGGATTTTTTCTGCAGGAGCTAGAAGGTGCCAAAGTTTGGACTATTAAAACCATTATTCGAACATGCGATTTCAAAGCCTCGGAGTAGAGACTGAAAACTGATAGCCGTGATTGGGAAACACGTCTATGGCAGCATAACTTAATGAAGTTGTTGTGGTTTCATACAAACAGCTGAGCACTTCTTTCGAGCATCGAAGCTTCCATCAGTATACCTGATAGAGGAAAGCTTGTGCACAGAAGTCGATGGTCGATTTCAAAATCGTAACGCTCGACTTAAAACGCTCAGTAATGGATGTTCGTTTTTAGAGAGGTGCAGAGCTATCAGCCGATCACTACCTTACTGTAGGCACGTTGCCCTATAAGAAATGGAGCACCATGCGAAGATCTGGTAGCAGAAGGAAATGAGAAACATTACCTTCGGCGGACGCGAGAACAG